GTTTTTTTTCTGGCCACTCTTCCGTAAAGCCCAGCTCTATGGAGTGTATGGCTTAAAGTGGTCCTATGGACAGATACTCCAATCTCCTCTGTGGAGCTTTGCAGCTCCTTCAGGGTTATCTTTGGTCTCTTTGTTGCCTCTCTGATTATTGCCCTACTTGCCTGGTCCGTGAGTTTTGGTGGGCGGCCCTCTCTTGGCAGGTTTGTTGTGGTGCCATATTCTTTCCATTTTTTAATAATGGATTTAATGGTGCTCAGTGGGATGTTCAAAGTTTCAGATATTTTTTTATAACCCAACCCTGATATGTACTTCTCCACAACTTTGTCCCTAACCTATTTGGAGAGCTCCTTGGTCTTCATGGTGCCGCTTGCTTGGTGGTGCCCCTTGCTTAGTGGTGTTACAGACTCTGGGGCCTTTCAGAACTGGTGTATATATACTGAGATCATGTGACACTTAAGATTGCACACAGGTGGACTTTATTTAACTAATTATGTGACTTCTTAAGGTAATTGGTTGCACCAGATCTTATTTAGGGGCGTCATAGCAAAGGGGGTGAATACATATGCACGCACCACTTTTCCGTTATTAATTTTTTTGAATTTCACTTCACCAATTTGGACTATTTTGTGTATGTCCATTACATGAAATCCATTTAAATTACAGGTTGTAATGCAACAAAATAGGAAAAACGCCAAGGCGTATGAATACTTTTGCAAGGCACTGTATTTGTTTCTTCGTTTTTTGTAATTGGTGTTATCACCTTGAAAATCATTCATTACGAGGATATACAAGGACCTTGAGCATTCCCTCCATTGTTATCGGGGGACGGGTCTATATTAAACAAAATTATTAGACAATCACATCCTTTTATTGTGTATACGTAATATATTTTTGTCACACCCTGATCTGTTTCACCGGTCTTGTGATTGTCTCCAACACCCACCAGGTGTCTCCCATTACCTTCGGTAATGGTGATTAAAGACGAGCTCGCAGACCGGGAGTTGCCCATGGACCTCGACTCCCTCATAGCCTTGACCATCCAGATCGATGGCCGGCTATGGGAACGTAGGAGGGAGAGGGGGTCTGTTCCCTGTCGCCCTCGAATTCCACCTCGCCTCCGGGTAATCCCGGAAATCCCAGAAGTCTACATTTCCGAGAGAGTCTGGTGTCATCCGAGTTCCCTCTGAGATCACAGAGGGCTGCCGACTCGCCTCCTCCGGAGCCCATGCAACTGGGCAGGGCTAGATTGTCTAATGCTGAGCGCTTACGCAGACTGAACACTAAGAGCTGTCTGTATTGTGGAGCTACGGGACATTTCTTATCTACCTGCCCATTAAAAGACCAGGCTCATCAGTAGGTACGAGTACACTGGTGAGCCGTAAGGGGAGTTTCCAATATCTCTCTACTCTTAACCACCTCTATGCTGCCCTGTTGTGGGGAGATCAGTCCAAATCCATCCGGGTGCTCATTGACTCTGGGGCCGACGAGAGCTTTATGGACACTACCCTGGTTTTGGAGCTGGGTATCTCCACTCAACCCCTTTCCATTCCGATGGACGTCAGAGTGCTGGATGGGCGCTCTATGGGCAGAGTCACTCACAATACGGTTCCTATCAACCTGCGAGTGTCAGGCAACCAAAGTGAGGCTATGCAGTTTCTGCTCCTGGAGTCTCCTCATGTACACCCATGGTTTTGGGGTTTTCATGCTCCAGAGGCACAACCCTCTGCGTCCGTTTATCGACTACCGGGGTCCTAATGACATTACGGTTAAAAAACGTTACCCGCTACCACTCATCTCCTCGGCTTTCGAGCCTCTCCAGGGGGCGGTCATCTTCACCAAGTTGGACCTTCGGAATGCCTACCATCGGATACGGGAAGGAGACGAGTGGAAGCCAGCCTTCAACACGGCTAGCGGGCACTACGAGTACCTGGTGATGCCGTTCGGACTGACCAACGCTACCGCAGTGTTCTAGGCCCTGGTCAATGATGTGCTCCTTGACATGTTGAACCAATTTGTGTTTGTCTACTACGACGACATCCTCATTTATTACCGGTCAGCTTGAGCACGTTCTCCATGTCCGACAGGTTCTCCAGCGTCTCCTGGGGAAGCAGCTTTTCGTGAAGGCGGAGAAATGTAAGTTCCATTGCTCCACCATCTCCTTCCTAGGACACGTCATCACTGCAGGGAATATTCAGATGGACCCTGACAAGGTGAGAGCATTGGTGGATTGGCCTCAACCCACATCCAGAGTGCAGCTGCAACGTTTCCTGGGGTTTGCTAATTTCTACCGTTGTTTCATCCGGGGTTACAGCACCCTGGCTTCCCTCCTCTCTGCACTCACCTCTCCCAAGGTTCCGTTCATATGGTCTCCAGCAGCTGACCGGGCTTTCTCAGACCTCAAGCAGCAATTCACTTAAGCTCCCACCTTAATCCATCTGGACCCGTCCCGTCAGTTTGTGGTGGAGGTCAACGCCTCGGACGTCGGAGTGGGGGCTGTCCTTTCCCAGCATTCTGCCCAGGACCAGAAGCTGCATCCCTGCGCCTTCCTTTCCCATCGTCTTATCCCCGCTGAGAGGAACTATGACATGGGAAATCTCTTCCCGTGCTCCGGTCTTGGAATTGGCATATTCCTCAAGACTCACCTGTAATCCTGGCTCCCGTCGGACCATGACTTTCGTCCGACAACGTTTTTGGTGGCCCACTATGGTTCCTGACGTCTCTGCGTTCGTTGCCGCCTGCACTGTGTGTGCGCAGAACAAGACTCCGCAGCAAGCTCCGGCTGGCCTCCTTCAACCACTCCCTGTTTCTCACCGCCCCTGGTCCCATAAATCCTTGGACTTCGTCACGGGTCTCCATCCGTCAGAGGGCAACACCACCATCCTTACGGTGGTGGATAGGTTTTCCATAGCCGCCCATTTTATTCCCCTTCCTAAATTGCCCTCAACTAAGGAGACAGTGTTCCTCAGTTCTCATCCCGGTTCTGGAAGGCGTTCTGCACCCTCATTGGGTCGTCCGCCAGCCTGTCCTCTGGTTTTCATCCCCAGTCTAACGGCCATTCGGAGCGAGCCAATCAGGACCTGGAGACGACTCTTCGTTGCCTCGTCTCCACCAATCCCACCACCTGGAGCCAGCAACTCGTGTGGGTGGAATATGCCCGCAACACCCTTCCCTGTTCTGCTACGGGTCTCTCGCCTTTTGAGTGTTCCCTAGGATATCAGCCCCCGCTCTTCCCGGAGCAAGAAGAAGAGGTCAGCATACCTTCTGCCCAGATGTTCGTCCGTCGCTGTACCTGGAAGTGAGCCCGGGCCGCTCTTCTCAAGACCACCTCCAGGTATCGATGACAGGCGGACCGCCACCGCCCTGCTCCCCGCTACCGTCTTGGGCAGAGGGTATGGCGTTCCACTCGGGATCTGCCCCTCCACGTGGCGCCCCTAGAGGGGGGGGTACTGTCACACCCTGATCTGTTTCACCTGTCTTGTGATTGTCTCCAACCCCCACCAGGTATCTCCCATTACCTTGTGTATTTATACCTGCGTTTTCTGTTTGTCTGTTGCCAGTTCGGCTTGTCCCGTCAAATCCTACCAGCGTGTTCCTGTGCTCTAGTTTTTGCTTTTTCTAGTCTTCCCAGTTCGGACCTTTCTACCTGTCCTGACCCTGATCCTGCCTGCCGTCCTGTACCTGCCTGACTCTGATTTGGATTACGACTCTTTGCCTGCCTTGACCTTCCGATTGCCTGCCCCTTGTACTGTAATAAACACTGAGACTCGTACTATCCACCTCCTGTGTCTGCATCTGGGTCTTAGCCTGAGCCGTGATAATTTTGATGATTCCATTGATAATTTGGTGTCTAAATCCAGTGTCACTTGGTGTTACTCAATTTAAATTAAGGTAAATTACATTGTGAGCAAAATTATTAATCATATCACATGTATTATTTTTAAAGGGTTAATGACCTTAGATTTGAGAATCTGTGGCCTCAATTTCAGAAATTCCTCAATGTATAAATTGGTGTTACTACTCCTACTGGTGGCACAATGTTATCGTAATTATCAAAATTATTTAAAGTAATTAAGCTGCCATATTAGTTTATTTAGAATGGGAAAATGTACCTAAATACATTTAAATAAATACAAATCTAGAAAAATTAATGTTTCCCCAAAATAAATGTTTTCAAGAATCAATGAGTAAGTTCTATGAATTGATATGACCATTGAACAGATTCCAAGATTGCAGAGTGTACTTTTTACCAAGAGCATACTGGAGGGGAATGTCCTCTTAATAGTCTCTTCCATCTAACACATTTTACACATGGGTTTTGTTACGTTTTCTTAGTCATTGTGAATATTTATTCAGTGAGTTCGCAGATGTCTCTTCAGACTTGATGCTAACTTCAAGTGAGTTCCACACAAATGACATTGAACTCCCTCCCCTGTATGAACCTTCATATGTGCAGTCAGGCTTCCCTTCAGACTGAAGCATTTGCCACATTCGTTGCAGCGATGCGGTTTCTCCTCTGTGTGAGTCATCATATGCTTTGTAAGGGTTCCCTTGTCACTGAAGCATTTGCCACATTCTTTGCACCGAAATGGTTTCTCCCCTGTGTGAGTCCTCATATGCAATATCAGGCTTGCCTTAATGCTGAAGGATTTTTCACATTCTTTGCACGGATAGGATTTCTCCCCAGTGTGATTTTGCTGATGGAGTTTCAGACTTCCTTTTGTTGTCAAGCATTTTCCACACAAATCGCACTTAAAAGCCGGCCCTGTATGAGTACCCATATGATTTTTCAGGTTATTCTTGTGATTGAAACATTTGCCACATACAGTACAGCAATGTTGTCCCTCCTCCGTGTGAGTCTTCATGTGCCGGATCAGGTAGCAGTTCAGTACGAAACCTTGTCCACATATGTCACACATGTATGGTCTATCTTCACTGTGCCTATTTTTCCCATGCATTTGTAGACCACGTCTTGTCACAAAGCATTTTCCGCAAACGTCACATTTTAGATCAGGCAACTCACTGGTTTCTTTCCTTGGCCGTCCTCTTGGTCTCTCTTCAAGATGGCGATTTTGTCTATGTCTTTTCAGACTACGTGCTGTCGCCAAGCATTTTCCACACACATCACATTTCAGGTCAGGCAACTCACTGGTTTCTTTCCTTGGCCGTCCTTTTGGTCTCTCTTCACTGTGCCAATTTTGTTGATGCCTTCTCAGACCACCTGCTGTCGCAAAGCATTTTCCGCACAAGTCACATTTCAGATCAGGCAACTCCCTGGCTTCTTTCCTTGGCCGTCCTCTTCCTCTCTTTGATTTAAGAGGCTTTAACCGTGACAGTGGTATTCTATTCTCCCCTTCATCCTCTTTTCCATGATCACTTTCACTGTTGTCACTGTCTGGATTTACTTCAGAGGGGGGCTGATATTCACTGGTTGAGTCGGACTCTCTGTAGCTCTCACCATCAAATTCTGTTTGGTTCTCTACAGTTATGATGTTGATAGAGTTCCATATAGACTCTTCGGCATCAGGCTCGACCGGCCCCAAATTGGCGCTCCATTCCTGCTCATAGTGCTGTTGCTCAGGGTTAACCTCCTCTTCAGTGAGAGTGAGCTGCTGGAGGTCTGGAGGGAAGGAGAAAGGAAGACATTTAATGAAAACTGAAATGCTTAAAAGAGACAAATAGGACTACTAACTATACAATGGGGCTTCACAATTGGATCATCCAATTCATGAAAAACACATAATTTAAGATATATCTAAAATTATATTCGGATTCGTGAATTAATTTACTTATAGCCGATGCCTGTTATTTGAAGCTCGAGAAGTAAGACACAGCTCAAAAAGTTGAAAAAGTCTCATGTGAACTACAACTCCCACAAGTTTGGATTACACGTCACACTTGAGTCGCTTGAGCTGAACACTCACAGGTAAGGACCACCACTGGTAAGAACATACTATACAGATCGTTTCTGTGTTGTATATTACAGATTTTCTTTTACTGAACATCGCCTGCATTATCGGATGCACTATTTGTCAAGCTTTAGGGTGTTTTTGAGTTTACCCATGCTAAGAGGTGACTGAAATAGGAAACAACTTTGCAATGATACAAAATGAATGTTATCCCCAAAAAGTAACCACGTAACACATGTTTTCAACCTGATAATCCTTAAATAGCAACAGTATTACCACATCACACATTATTAGAGCTTTATGAACAGACATTATGACAGTAGCTGTCCTGTGTCACTCAATCTGCTGTGTAGATCCAACTAAACTCAGCAAAAAAAGAAACGTCCTCTCACTGCGTTTATTTTCAGCAAACTTAACATGTGTAAATATTTGTATGAACATAACAAGATTCAACAACTGAGACATAAACTGAACAAGTTCCACAGACATGTGACTAACAGAAATTGAATAATGTGTCCCTGAACAAAGGGGGGGTCAAAAGTAACAGTCAGTATCTGGTGTGGCCACCAGCTGCATTAAGTACTGCAGTGCATCTCCTCCTCGTGGACTGCACCAGATTTGCCCGTTCTTGCTGTGAGATGTTACCCCACTTTTCCACCAAGGCATCTGCAAGTTCCCAGACATTTCTGGGGGGAATGGCCCTAGCACTCACCCTCCGATCCAACAGGTCCCAGACGTGCTCAATGGGATTGAGATCCAGGCTCTACGCTGGCCATGGCAGAACACTGGCATTCCTGTCTTGCAGGAAATCACGCACAGAACGAGCAGTATGGCTGGTGGCATTGTCATGCTGGAGGGTCATGTCAGGATGAGCCTGCAGGAAGGGTACCACATGAGGGAGGAGGATGTCTTCCCTGTAATGCACAGCGTTGAGATTGCCTGCAATGATAACAAGCTCAGTCCGATGATGCTGTGACACACCGCCCTCAGACCATGATGGACCCTCCACCTCCAAATCGATCCCGCTCCAGAGTACAGGCCTGGGTGTAACGCTCATTCCTTCGAAGATAAACGTGAATCCGACCTTCACCCCTGAAGAGCCAGTCCTGTCTGGTCCAGTGACGGTGGGTTTGTGCCCATAGGCGACGTTGTTGCCGGTGATGTCTGGTGAGGACCTGCCTTCAACAGGCCTACAAGCCCTCAGTCCAGCCTCTCTCAGCCTATTGCGGACAGTCTGAGCACTGATGGAGGGATTGCGCGTTCCTGGTGTAACTCGGGCAGTTGTTGTTGCCATCCTGTACCTGTCCCGCAGGTGTGATGTTCGGATGTACCGATCCTGTGCAAGTGTTGTTACACGTGGTCTGCCCCTGCGAGGACGATCAGCTGTCCGTCCTGTCTCCCTGTAGCGCTGTCTTAGGCGTCTCACAGTACGGACATAGCAATTTATTGCCCTGGCCACATCATCAGTACTCATGCTTCCTTGCAGCATGCCTAAGGCACGTTCACGCAGATGAGCAGGGACCCAGGGCATCTTTCTTTTGGTGTTTTTCAGAGTCAGTAGAAAGGCCTCTTTAGTGTCCTAAGTTTTCATAACTGTGACCTTAATTGCCTACCGTCTGTAAGCTGTTAGTGTCTTAACGACCGTTCCACAGGTGCTTGTACCAGCTTAAAAAATTGATCGTTTAGTACCTAAAATATATATCTCTCAGATATAGGACAGACACATCAGAACAAACTTCCTTTAGATTTTTTGGGGGACTATCTGTTGTTCCATGTAGTGAATCTGTTATTCAATGTGTTTCTATTGGCTTATAGCAGTAATGCCAAATTCAATGTTTCATCCAATATTTTTTTGTGATACCTTAGGGGGTCTTAAAATTCTAAATCAAATAGCTAAATGATCCTTGGTATGACCATCTTAAAATAATTCCATATGTTAGCTTAGAAAACATTGAATTTGATGCTGAAAGCATTGCCACAATCGGGACTATGGCGAAATCTGAAAACAGCAGTTTGTGGAGAGGGCACCCCTCAAACATGAACGATTTAGAACAGTTTGCTGATGAAAAGTGCCAGTAGAAAGGTGCAGCAAGCTCATTGAATATGTTCACATGCAAACTAATAATTCAATATTAAACTGATTATTAGTCATGGACATTTCTCTGTAAAAGGACCCATGAGCACCAACATGTGAAGTTCATAGGATCATGTCAAATTGGCTGTCAGATGAAAGCTAAGAGTCTATCTTTTTTTCAATCATAGTTGGGTCACCTGCTACTGTTCTCCCTTCCACTGGCATACTGTTATGTTCAGCTCATAACTGTTTTCTTTCTCTTTCTGTCATCTGGTGGTCAAAGCAAGAATGTGAAAAGTCAGGACAACCCCTCCCCCTCTCTCCTCTCTCTCTCTCCAATTAATATCACCTCTACCGGCTCTTACTGACACCTACCCACGAGCCCCCTCTCTTTCCATTTACTGTAACAAGCACCCTCACCCACTGAGCACCGTCGACACCGGACGTCGAAAAGTAGTCTAAATTAGGTCAGTCTGCCCTGGTTTCAGCGTCCACAGACATCTTTTTTTTGGTCCGATCTGGACCAGCCCTGATTTCAACGTCAACAGACATCTGGACCGGCCTTCATTTGGCCCAAATATAGATGTCCGGACCAGACCAAATCTGAATCAATCATTGACGTCTATGTTTCACAAGTTTGGACATTACAGTACAGTAGAGCACAGTAAAGTAAAGAGAAGTAGAGTAGAGTTCAGTACAGTACACAGTAGAGCACACTAGAGTTGAGTACACTGTACTGAACTATACTCTACTTGACTCTACTGTACTGAACTCTACTGTTCTGTACTGAACTCTACTGACCTGTACTTTGATGTCCAAACTTGTGAAACATAGATGTCTATGATCGGTTCAGATTTGGTCCGGTCTGGACCAACCAAATCTGGTCTTGTTTGGTGGCGGAGCTCATTAAAATAATAGCCAGTGTGTAGAATAATACCCAAATATGCAAAGTAGGATATTGCATATTTCTATATTTGTACACCTATTTAACATACATCACCATGAAGAGAATTACATTCGTATCCATAATTATGCATTTCTGTGTAGTATAGATCAGGGATCCATGATGAAATTATGTTACCGCAATTCTGTTACCGGGTGTTAATCCACTTCACTTAAACTTTGAAATCAATGGTTTTTGTTTGGCATACATTTTAAGTGACAAAACTGAGTCTCAGCGCAATTCCGTAACCGTGGAATTGCCCTCATGTAAACACCTTACTCTGCTTATCTTAATCGGCATAAAGTCATAATCGAAGTATGCATAAGCCGATTAAAACACCTGGTTTTCTGAGCAATTTTCGAATTATTGGGACATGTACAGTAACCAGCTGAATCGGAGTTCCAGTGGTATATTTGATCTGAGTATGTGCCAGCACCAGCTGCAAGTGAAGTGAATTCAGAAAAACTTACTAAAGTATGCATCTTAGAAATAGTTTTCACATACAAACTTTATATGTCCAAACTCGATCAAATAGGCTTCCCAAAAATAACCTGTTCGAACGTTTATTTTGATTGGCAATTTTCTGCATTTATCAAAGTCCCATCAGGTACCCTGTTTTCAGATGTGTCCATGTAAACAAGATTATTAGGGAAATTGTTCTGGTAATACTTTATTATAAGGGTCAGTAATAAACCATTTATATGCCATTTATAAATGTGTTCACCATTTATTAATCATTACTCCCACATGAATAAACCATTTACTAATCATTAGTAAAATATTTTTGCAGTCCCTAATCTAAAGTGAGTGCTATTTATACTTCATGAATAATTCATAAATGTTTTGAGTGAACAGTATCATTTCTGACAAAAAGATGGGCATGCCATTGGTAGACATTCCTGCAGTACCTTGCTAACATTTACACATGTGGGAGTAATAATTAGTAAGTGGTGCGCGAACGGTTTGTAAATACCATATAAACGCCTTATACATGGTTTATTATGGACCCTTAAAATAAAGTGTTACCATCCTTCTTGCAAAGCATGTAGCCCTAAACGTTTAAATCGAACTATTATATTAAACTGACTATTCACAATAATCGCATTGGGTGCATGTAACACTCTACTCAGCAAATTGGATGTAGTCTATCACAGTGCCATCCGTTTTGTCACCAAAGCCCCATATACTACCCACCGCTGTGACCTGTACGCTCTTGTTGGCTGGTCCTCACTACATATTCGTCGCCAAACCCACTGGCTCCAGGCCATCTATAAATCACTGCTAGGCAAATCCCCGCCTTATCTTAGCTCATTGGTCACCATAGCAACACCAACCTGTAGTCTGCATTCCAGCAAGTATATCTCACTGGTCATCCCCAAAGCAAACACCTCCTTTAGCCACCATTCCTTCCAGTTCTCTGCTGCCAATGACTGGAACAAACTGCAAAAATCTCTGAAGCTGGAAACTCTTATCTCCCTCACTAACTTTAAGCATCAGTTGTCAGAGCACCTTACTGATCACTGCACCTGTACACAGCCCATCTGAAATTAGCCCACCCAACTACCTCATCCCTATATTGTTATTTATTTTGCTCATTTGCACCCCAGTATCTCTATTTCCACATCATCTCTTGCACATCTATCATTCCAGTGTTAATACTAATTGTAATTATTTTGCACTATGGCCTATTTATTGCCTTACCTCCATAACTTGCTACATTTGCACACACTGTATATAGATTTTCTATTGTATTTTTTACTTTATGTTTTGTTTTACCCCATATGTAACTCTGTGTTGTTGTTTTTATCACACTGCTTTGCTTTATCTTGGCCAGGTCGCAGTTGTAAATGAGAACTTGTTCTCAACTGGTTTACCTGGTTAAATAAAGGTAAAATAAAGTAAAAATAAAAAATAGGCTGGTTTCCATTGACCCATGGTAATTCGACAAAAAGAAATGTCACAACAAAAAAAATCATCGCGACAAGTATAATGGCAACATATATGACATTTTAATTTTTTCTAAAGATCGACAAAAAAATGGTTCCGTTGGACAGGGGTGGATATTTCTTTTGTCGAACTTTCTTTATTGCGACAAATGATGATGGAAGTGGTGTTTATCGAATAAATGATGATTGCCGAATACTTTTTTAAAGGTAGTATTAGGCTACAATGTCAAATTTATGTCAAATAGAGACGTCACATACCTGCAAATCTATGCAACTTAATCTCTGGTTTGAAAACCAAATCCAGCAGTCTTCGTAGACGTGCATTCGCCTGTTTCAAACGGTAGATTTCTTCCTGGTACTCTGCGATCGTTTTTTTAACTACCACGGATATCTCCAAAGGAACTGCTTTTAATTTTTCGTTGAGAAACACATTGATCTGTTGTAGTTTAGACATTTTGGGGAGAAAAGTGATAGGTGGGGAAAATGTAGTTATTTTGCTGTCACTACTACGGATCCGTGTTTGTGAAACAGGAAATGTCTAGAAGAATGACTTCTTCTTCTTTAAATTTGTTTTTGCAGATGGCAACCAACTGAAAGGTGCCTACTGCCTACACCGGCACCTACTGTACTGGAGTGTGATGCCGCTCACCACCTACCTACACCACTGTGTTATTTTATGTATGTATTAAAATCCTGTATTTCTAATAAAATAAACTAGGGCTCCATTTAATCCGTAGTGCTGAAGTTCGGTGTTACAGCGTGATTTAAATTTAAAGGCAATGTTCCCGTGTTAGCAGACTGCATTCACGGTAAATGCTGCATTTGTCGGCTGAATCGGAAATGACTTTATCGTGCAATCTATAACGCTTCAGCGATACAGATTGAATCGAGCCCTGTGGATGAGGAATACCAACAACAAGTGTAAGGGCTCGATATTATCTGTACTCGGATGTAGCCGGACGAGATTGTGGAGATGATGTGGAACGTGGCCTTCACTGGCCTCTGCTTCTTCATCCCTGGATTCATCGTCATGCTCAGCTACAACAAAATACTGCAGGTAGGATGGCTAGGCTGTTGTTTGACGCCAGTCAAAAACTTTGTTGCATTGCCAGATTGATTTACATTGACTAAATGATGTACATACAGTGGGGAAAAAAAGTATTTAGTCAGCCACCAATTGTGCAAGTTCTCCCACTTAAAAAGATGAGAGAGGCCTGTTATTTTCATCATAGGTACACGCAGGGGCGGTGTGTTCATTAGGGCGATATGGGCGACGCACTGCCAAACGGGAAAATAAAGGGATTTTTTTTCTAATCAATTATATCACGGCAACAGTAGTTATCAGTGTTCTAATCTAGACGTCTGATCTGCCACTAAATGTCCAATCAGGCTAAAGTCGTGCAGCACGAGAGACTCGTGCAGCACGACTCGTGCTTCAAATGTCCCCGCCCGTTTTGGGGCGATTTCAGTCAGGTTGAAAATCGCCCAGAAGTCTCTCATAGCCTCTAATGTAAAATCATTTTTTTTCAAATATCAGAGCTTTCAATACAATCTCTATGGGTTTCTGAGGGCTTGCACTTACGCGCTTTCGTCGTACGTAACATAACCATGAACGTAACTAAAAAAAGAGCGGGTAGCCTCATCAATCAATTCACTACTACTGTCAAAATGGCAGTGCAACTCGATTGTCTCTTTGAAAGAAGTTCCTTTTTGTCGGCGAACAAATCAAGATAAATTGGCAACGAAACAATTAGGACCTCCCAGACCAAATTTAATAATTCAACAGGTTTCTACTAAAGGGGGAAAGTCCTACACCCGAGGATTTTCCAAAAATTGGTATGAACGAAAAATCTGGCTAGCAGGCTGCGATGTAGCTAATGCAGTTTTCTGCTACCAGCCCACCGTGAGAGAGGCATATGGTTACGTGAGGATGCTACATGATGAAGATTTTATTTTTTTCCTGCGGCTTTTTCACAAAATCATGCCCCACGTCGACATTCTGTACCAGAAGCTACAGAAGAAGGACATCGATGCTGTCTTTATCAAACGTGCCCTCGACAGCTTCACAAGCAGTGTGCAGGCCATAAGGTAAGATTAAACAATATCATTCGATCTTTCATTTTCACAAGTCATTGAACGCTTTGCTGTATTGAAACAGAGAAGAGAACAGTTTCAGTACAAGTAATGTAGCCTCTCTCTCTCTTTGTCCCTCCCTGTCTGTCTCTTTAACACACACACGCCCAAATCAGTTCACAGTTGATGTTGTTTAAAATAGTTATTTTTCATTTAAAAAAAAGTTTTAAAAAAAATAATCTGTTCATGTTCATTTTTACAAATCTATACAATTGGCCAGAATATGGTTGTTCATATTTACAAATCTATACAATTGGCCAGAATATGGTTGTTCATTTTTACAAAGCCATACAGATAGCTGTGTTTACCATTTCTAGAAATTACTTTCAAATTCTGTTTTCAGGCAAAATGTCTATCACTGTTCATTTTCACAAATCTATACAAGAGGGCAGAATATGGAAGTCTATAAAAATGTCTTATTACCAATAACTTGCATCAATGTTTTCAGTAGCCTCTATCAAAAGCTCCTGCTTACTTGTTGTGAATTATGCTCAGGTGCACATATTTCCAATTCAACCATGAGGCAAAAAATGTGGTAAAAGCTCTTGTTGATCCTGCAATCTGAACAAATACCAAGATGCTGTATTTTCAGCTGATATTTCATTTGTTTATGGAAATGCATATTGTTTATGCAGTGTTGAGGAATGTGAAAGAACACCCTTGATTATTTTTACTGTGATAACTTATTTTGATTTTGTAAGCCAACACTTTTGAGATCAGTCAATAAATGCTTCTGGTATTGACTTATATGCTGCCCCTGTCTTCATGTTGTTGCTGGACATATCTTTTTAAAAATGTGTGTAGGTCACCTAAATCATCAGAAAAATTGCCCCCCCTGAGAATTTTTTCAGGAGCCGCCACTGGGTACACGTCAACTATGACAGACAAAATGAGAAAAAAAATTCTGAAAATCACATTGTAGGATTTTTAATGAATTTATTTGCAAATTATGGTGGAAAATAAGTATTTGGTCAATAACAAAAGTTTCTCAATACTTTGTTATATACCCTTTGTTGGCAATGACACAGGTCAAACGTTTTATGTAAGTCTTCACGAGGTTTTCACACACTGTTGCTGGTATTTTGGCCCATTCCTCCATGCAGATCTCCTCTAGAGCAGTGATGTTTTGGGGCTGTCGCTGGGCAACACGGACTTTCAACTCCCTCCAAAGATTTTCTATGGGGTTGAGATCTGGAGACTGGCTAGGCCACTCCAGGCCCTTGAAATGCTTCTTACGAAGCCACTCTTTCGTTGCCCGGGCGGTGGGTTTGGGATCATTGTCATGCTGAAAGACCCAGCCACGTTTCATCTTCAATGCCCTTGCTGATGGAAGGAGGTTTTCACTCAAAATCTCACAATACATGGCCCCATTCATTCTTTCCTTTACACGGATCAGTCGTCCTGGTCCCTTTGCAGAAAAACAGCCCCAAAGCATGATGTTTCCACCCCCATGCTTCACAGTAGGTATGGTGTTCTTTGGATGCAACTCAGCATTCTTTGTCCTCCAAACACGACGAGTTGAGTTTTTACCAAAAAGGTATATTTTGGTTTCATCTGACCATATGACATTCTCCCAATCCTCTTCTGGATCATCCAAATGCACTCTAGCAAACTTCAGACGGGCCTGGACATGTACTGGCTTAAGCAGGGGGACACGTCTGGCACTGCAGGATTTGAGTCCCTGGCGGCGTAGTGTGTTACTGATGGTAGGCTTTGTTACTTTGGTCCCAGCTCTCTGCAGGTCATTTACTAGGTCCCCCCGTGTGGTTCTGGGATTTTTGCTCACCGTTCTTGTGATCATTTTGACCCCACGGGGTGAGATCTTGCGTGGAGCCCCAGATCGAGGGAGATTATCAGTGGTCTTGTATGTCTTCCATTTCCTAATAATTGCTCCCACAGTTGATTTCTTCAAACCAAGCTGCTTACCTATTGCAGATTCAGTCTTCCCAGCCTGGTGCAGGTCTACAATTTTGTTTCTGGTGTCCTTTGACAGCTCTTTGGTCTTGGCCATAGTGGAGTTTGGAGTGTGACTGTTTGAGGTTGTGGACAGGTGTCTTTTATACTGATAACAAGTTCAAACAGGTGCCATTAATACAGGTAACGAGTGGAGGACAGAGGAGCCTCTTAAAGAAGAAGTTACAGGTCTGTGAGAGCCAGAAATCTTGCTTGTTTGTAGGTGACCAAATACTTATTTTTCACCATAATTTGCAAATAAATTCATAAAAAATCCTACAATGTGATTTTCTGGATTTTTTTTCTCAATTTGTCTGTCATAGTTGATGTGTACCTATGATGAAAATTACAGGCCTCTCTCATTTTCTTAAGTGGGAGAACTTGCACAATTGGTGGCTGACTAAATACTTTTTTCCCCCACTGTACGTGGCATACATAAGAACAAAATGTTTTTAAATGTTTTTAGAAAATTGGTTTGGTGTTTTGATTTATGCACACTTTTATAACATATGCATTGTTCACTAATGGTCATGTCAGGTGGTGATCAAATCATATATTTTTATAAGTGTCTTGACTTATTGTGCTTTAAATGTGAACAGTATCATCATCAATGCAAGTTTCCTTTTCCCTAAAGTGCCACGGGACATTGAGACATATTTTGTTTTCCATGTAAATAGAATGGCTGTTTGTGTGTGTGTGGAACACAAGTGTGTGTCCTATTGATTCCCGAGCCAGGTAACACCAGTGTGAACACCATGTGCTGAACAGCTGTGTGTTCAGGGCTTTACATTATCATCTGTAACTATATATTTTTTGGTGCAATATTCAAGCTTTGGCTCATGGGCATTGGGTGGTGTGCCCCTTTCTGTCCAATCAGGTAATTTCGGGACAATATTCTGTCCATTAAGGCAAGTATGGGTAACTAAAATGGCGGACAGAAACCAGGACAGAAACAAGGAAGGAGAGAAAAAGAAGAAAGAGAGTATCTTTGACCTGTCAAAGTACATTGATAAACAAATCCGTGTGAAGTTTCAGGGAGGACGAGAGGCCAGTGGAGTTCTGAATGGGTTTGACCCCCTGTTGAACCTGGTATTGGATAGCACCATCGAGTACTTGCGGGATCCTGACGACCAGTTCAAGCTGACCGAGGACACGTGGCAGCTGGGCCTGGTGGTTTGTAGAGGGACGTCCGTGGTGCTCATCTGTCCTCAGGACGGCATGGAAGCCATCCCCAACCCCTTCATCCAGCAGCAGGACGGATAGTCGGCCAGCCTCGTTCTCTAGGATGACCTCACAGTAGTCCAATTCCTGGTGTGTATGTCAATTGTATTTCCTTGATTCCTTGCATCCTCTACTTGCCTCCTCCTCAAAATGCATTGGAGGAGAAGATCAGAGGAGAGGAACCTAAGATCTACTCCAATGTGCTTTGAGAAGGCAGGAGGATGTGAGGATTCAATTAAATATTATTGCGGTTAGTATGAAAAAAAAAAAAATGCATATTTACATTACATTTATATTTTAGTCATTTAGCAGACGCTCTTATCCAGAGCGACTTACAGGAGCACAAATAAAAAAAATTGGATGCACTCACTGACTGTAAGTCGCTCTGGATAAGAGCGTCTGCTAAATGACTAAAATGTAAATGAGTGTGTTTGAAAGTGTCTGTTGTGAAATAAGTGGGTGTATGAAAACATAACAGCTAATTGGGCAGATTAGTTACCACTCAAGACCGTTTTGCGTGGCTTCTTGCTGCTTCCTTATAGCATTTTATCTAAGCCGGTTAGGCAAGTTAGGATAATTCATGTAGGAGGTTAGGATAATTAACGTAGCAGGTTAGGAGAATTAACGTGGCAGGTTAGTGCTTCATTCTATAGCTAGAGGACTCCTGAAATCTCCAGGAGTGATAGGGTCAAGAACATAGGTCTGAGAGAAATAGTGACAGAGTGTTTTGGAAAGAAAAGAAAGGGATACTGGTCTGTAGGGTCTGAGTGGCTAGGGTTGGAGGAAAGGGAGACAGAAAAGGAAACAAAGTAGTGATCAGAGACCTGGAGGGGGGTTGCAGTGAGATTAGTAGGCGAACAGCCTCTAATAAAGATGAGGTCAAGCATATTGCTTGCCTTGTGAGTGAGAAGGGACTGGGAAAGGGTGAGGTCAAAAGAGACAAGGTGGGGAAAGAAAGAAGGCAGATGTCGGGAGGTTGAAGTCGCCAAGTACGAAGAGCGGTGAGTGAGCCAATGTCAGGAAATTAGCTCATTGAACACTCTCATAGGCACCTGGTGGGCGATAGATGGCGCCGATAGACATGGCCGCCTTATTTCAGGCTCCTAAGCAACTTTGCAGTATTCTTTTTTTTAAATGTTATTTCTCACGTTATTAGCCCGTTATGGGCATTATTACATACAGCCGGAAATAACTTTTAGATATCAGAGAGGCAGCAACTCACCAGCATTTCAACCAGGAATACGACTTTCCTGAATTGGATCCTTTGTACCTTTCAAGCCGATTGAACTTATCCCAGAGGCTGGTCCAAGACGCCGCCAGTGGAGAAGAGTTATTCGGAGTGGACTTTTAGTCCAACTCAGGAGGAGTGCACACCATCCACCGCTTCCGAGTATATTACTCGCTAATGTCCAGTCCCTGGACAATAAAGTAGACGAGCTCAGGGCGAGGATCTCCTTCCAGAGAGACATCAGGGACTGTAACATACTCTGTTTCACAGAATCATGGGTCTCTCCGAATATACTGTCCCCGTCCATACAGCCAGCTGGGTTTTCAATACATCGCGCAGTCAGGAATAAAGAACTCTCCGGGAAGAAGAAAGGCGGAGTTTCATGATTCACTTCTTATGGTGTGATTGTGGTAACATACAGGAACTCAAGTCCTTTTGTTTACCCGACCTAGAATATCTCACAATCAAATGCATTACCTCCCTAGAGAATTTTGTTCGGTTATCGTCACAGCCATGTAATTCCCCCTCAAGCCGATACCACGACGGCTCTCAAGGAACTACACTGGACCTTGTGCAAACTGGAAACTGCATATCCTGAGGCAGCATTTATTATAGCTGGGGACTTTAATAAAGCAAATCTGAGGAAAACGCTACTAAGGTATATTCAACGCTGATCTGACCAATTGGAATCCATGCGCCAAGACTGTTTTGATCACATGGACTGGCGGCAAACCGTGCCAATACAGTGCCTTCGGAAAGTATTCAGTTCCCTTGACCCTAACCAGTCAGGCTTCAAGACGGGTCACTCAACTGAGTCTCTACGCACTGCCAAAGTTGACTCTCTCTCCTCTGTTCTTATCCTCCTAGATCTATCCGCTGCCTTCGACATTGTGAACCATCAGATCCTCCTCTCCACCGTCTCAGGGCTGGGTGTCTCAGGCTCTGCACACTCTTGGATTGCATCCTACCTGGCAGGCCGTTCCTACCAGGTGACGTGGAGAGGAGCTGGTACCCCAGTGGAACCAGCTTCCGAAACCCTGAAGCTAGGACCTGAGAGTCCCTGCCCATCTTCCGAAAACATCTGAAACCTTACCTCTTCAAAGAGTCTCTTAAATAATCTCACAGCACCCCCTCCTACCTTTCGTGAACTAACACAACTTTTTTCCCCCCTCACTAGCTCTGAGTTTGCTGAGAGCTACTTTATTGAGGAAAAATGTACTTACTATGACTGTGATATGTGGTTGTCCCACTGAGCTATCTTAAGATGAATGCACTAACTAAGTCGCTCTGGATAAGAGCGTCTGCTAAATGACTAAAATGTAAAAAAAACTTCAATGTAGGATAATTAACGTGGCAGGTTAGGATAATTAACATAGCAGGTTAGGATAATTAATGTAGCAGATTAGGAGAATGAGGTTAAGGTTAGGAAAAGGGTTAGGCTTAGCTAAAATGCTCCAGTTGTCAACAATCGACTCATCATGCAGCCCAATCAGCCACGCAAAACGGTCTTGAGTGGTAACAAATTGCCGTTCCATACACCCACTTTTGTTGATCCTCACACTTCTGTTGACACGCCCACTTTCAGACACACTCCATGTGTGCAGTTAGTTACCCATGAATCCATTTTGGGACCCTTTTTGGCTCAGGAGCTCCCCCAGAGGCATGTGTTCAGTATAGCCTCTAAACTCCACCTTCCTCTGTTCCCAGATCATTAAACTGTCCAAGAGGAAAATACACCCCAAAGGCCTCTCCTTCTCTCCCAACAAGCCCCGCCCCTGAGAGTACCCCGGGGTCTCCTGCCAGGACATCAAGCTCTTCAGCACGCTCTTCGTCCTCATGCTCTCTTTCCTCATCACCTTCGTCATCCTAGCCCGCAACTTCCAGGGCCACATCTTTGTCTCGTCCACCATTTTCTTCTGGATTGTGATCTTCACATTGGCCAACTCGGCCCTGAACCCATCTTCTACTCCATGTGCCAGTTTAGACACGGCTGGCGCCGAGGAAACAAAGTGCCAACAGGCAGGGGAAGGGAGAAAGCCCACCACACATATTCACCAGAAACACAGTCCAGGGGAGAGACTGGACCTTACTCTAACCCCATGGGGAAACTTACCCTGAACCGATCATGCTTCCACAGTCCAGGGGAGAGAGTGACCCTTACTCTAACCCCATGGGGAAACTAACCCTGAACCCATCATGCTTCCACAATCAAGGGGAGTGACTGACCTGGGTCGTGACCGAATACTCGTCCTAATGATATTGATATTTGCTTACTGCATACATTTTTTGTAAATAGTATGTTCTAAATAGTATACAGTATCATTAGTAAATGTAAGTAAACGGTAGGTTTTGGAAAACCTATACAGCTCCACCCCACAATGGCACAATCTAGGGGGAAAGACTGACAATTGTGTAGGTGTGCAAGTACTGCCTTAAGATTTGTATTCATAAATGTGTACACAGTGCGATTGCATCTAATATTGAAATGTGTATAATACATATGTATATAACACATCGGGCAACATTTCCGTGGTGCAAAAGAGCACAGATCAGTGCAAAAATACCATAAACCTCAATCTGGCAGTGTGATTTAATACAAAACTGTACTTCAACAAGTTCTAAAGTCAGCATAAAGAAAATATGTGAATTTTCCCACAAGTGGTGTGTTTCCACCAAACTGACTGGTTGCAGATAAAAATCAGTGTGTAATGACAGTGCACACACAATGTACTTTTTCGCTTAGGTTTTCATGTACCGAATACAAATCTGAAGTTCAACGTGTTTCCATCGCATTGAACTCTACCGATAGTTTGTCACAAAAACGGTTGCTTTAAAACCCTCGTGTTGTCCTCCCAAATGCCTTACGCCTTTTGTCCTCTGGGGTCAAAAATGACCCCGCCTGGTTTGACTGTTTATAAAGCATACAGTATACATTTTCAATCAATTCTGTGTTACATCTTTATTCTTACTTCTGTTCAACCCATTACTATAATTTTTTTCATTTGTTTTGGAATTTAGAGCCAATAGACCTTGTTTACACAAAAGTATACCCTGTTTTTAAGTAAAAATACAATGAAACTATGAATTATTTTGACCTATTATTATTTTGACTATTTCACTTATCACTGAGTGGTATTTGTAAAAGTTTAGTGAGGATGCTGTTTTTGAATCATTTTATTTTTATTAATGACAGCCCATAATCACACCTTTTGTCCTCTGGGGTCAAAAATGACCCCGCCTGGTTTGACTGTTTATAAAGCATACAGTATACATTTTCAATCAATTCTGTGTTACATCTTTAGTCTTACTTCTGTTCAACCCATTACTAGAATTTTTTTCATTTGTTTTGGAATTTAGAGCCAATAGACCTTGTTTACATAAAAGTATACCCTGTTTTTGAGTAAAAATACAATGAAACTATGAATTATTTTGACCTATTATTATTTTGACTATTTGACTTATCACTGAGTGGTATTTGTAAAAGTTTAGTGAGGATGCTGTTTTTGAATCATTTTATTTTTATTAATGACAGCCCATAATCACACCTTTTGTCCTGCCTGGTTTGACTGTTTATAAAGCATACAGCATACATTTTCAATCAATTCTGTGTTACATATTTAGTCTGAAAATAACGGTAGTTGTTTAATACTATGCTCTTTATGATTCAAACAAATTTGAAGTAATTTGATTGAATTATGGGTGTTTTACTAAATGTAATAACTTCTGTTGTCCTCTGGGATCAAAAAGACCCCGCAGCACAAAGTTTACATACTGCTTGGCAAAACATCTTTGATCATGTTTCTTTGATGTGTGG